CTACAGGATGGATGGAAGCAACATTGAGCTGGCGTGTTGTGGTTTTAGGCTGGTGCCAGGATCTGTCAGTGGACTGAGACTGATTTCAGCGTTAGGGTCCACCTGGACCCCTGCTCCCACTGAAATTTTATAGGATCTTTTCCTCCATTTTCTGTCACCCACAGAAAGAAAACTTTAGACTAATTTGGAGTTAATGGCAGAGCTGAACTCCTTAACCAAATTTTATAAAAAGAGATTACATGATCTGTGTGTGAGTCTAAGAATTTATCATAAGTTTGTTTCCATTTAATTTAGATAATAAAATTTGGTAGAGAGAAATATCTAAACAGGAATTATGGTATAATGTTTCATCAGGCCTAATATAAATATTTGTTGTCACACTTGTAAATGTGTTTTTTATAAAATTATTTGAATTTGTTTGTTCTCTTACATCAGGAAAAGAATGAAAGATACCTTCTACTCTTCCCAAATATTTTGCTAATGTTGTCTGCCAGTCCTAGGATGAGTGGTTTTATCTATCAGGTAAAATCCATTTTAAATTTGTTTGTTGTGAATCTGAAAATCATTTCCAGGCTTGCTTTGAATCTTCGAGTTAAATACCCCGCCTGTCCGTGTGTCACGTGCCGTGTTACACGTGTGGTGTCACGTTCAAGTACGTTCGTGCCACTCCCGCCTGTGTTTCGATGTGACCGCGAATTGACCCTTGTGTTAATCCGAAGCGAAAAGAGAAGGAAACAGGTGACAGTCGTAGAGCTAGCCCTGCGGACACAGACTGCGGAGGGGCAAGGCCAGCTCGATCCCCACCTGCAGCAGGGCCTGCAGTCGCCCCTTCTTCCCCGGCGGCTGGTGGGGCTGGCCTGAGCGCGGCCCGATGGTGCGAGCAGTGCACGGCCGAGGGTCAGCGCGCAGACGCCAGGTGGTGTGAGCGGTGGCCGGTGATCATTTACCCTTTTCTAATTTTAATCATTTTTCCTGTTTTCGTTGAGAAGATGCGCGAGCTGATTTTAGAAGGAAGTGCAACGGAAGATCTTCGTCTAGGCTAATTTAAAATGTGGCATTAAGTGCCTTACATTTTCTCTGCGCGTCTCGCCGGTGCTTCTGGCAAGTCTGCTCCTTTTTCCTGTGTTGTTATAGAAGCCACTGCCTTTCCCATCGAGTCTTCAAGGCCTGATGAGGCCCAGGTGCTGGTTG